TTTGGAAAGTTTCTTGAAAGCTTGTTCTGTCAGTGCAAAGTATGCCACACAAGACCCACCTGATAATCAATTCAACACAAAAATAATGAGTTTGTTTCCCACCTGTTCTTTCCTTGCCAGGAAGTCAACAAATAGAAGACAACGGAATGCAGTGTTCAAATCAGAAGCAAACAGGTCTCAAAATTATGGCATTTTATCTTGGTAGAACTGCACTAGTTACAAAGCAGCTAGAACCTTCCCTGGGGCCACAGCAGAAAGATCTGGACAATGGAAATTGGGCCCCGTCTCTTAGATCAGAGGTTAGCCACAGTCTGCAGGCTGGATCTGACCCTCACAGGTCTTACCCACTCCAGAGGGACAGGTAGAATGGAGCTGCACTAAGCCACCCATCCCTTCTGTAGTCACCCTGCTCTCCAACCCAACCCAACCCAACCCCCGCCCACTATCTTGCCCTGCAACACTTACCCTCGCTGCAAATAGGGGAGCTGGGGCAAGAAGGGGTAGACTTGCAGCCCAGGAAGGTACAAAAGTTTGCCAACTCATCTTAAACATTTCTACTGACCATTTCAAGAAAAAAGAATTGTGCAAGAATGAGTCTAGCAAAGACATTCAGAAATTAGTACCCCTTACTTTCCACTTAAGTCTTAGTTTTAGGAAGCAGGGGATTCATAAGAAATTACTTTGTTTATTTATATCAGAAAATGCGAGCTGTTGCAACAACTGCTGGGAGTGGCTGAAGACTACAGCACTGACTGACACAGTACCTACTCTAAATGCTGACTTAATAATACAGCTTCAAAATTGTTATTAAAACAGTAACTGGTTTCATTACTCTGCCAGATCTATGTAGAAGCTGCCATTCTAAATACTGTCAGTTGAAATTTTACCCTAAATCTAAGATTAGTTTTTTTTAAAAGGGCATTTAAAAACCTGCAGCCAAGAAAAGCATTTGATTTATTTACACTGCTCATAAAAAGATGATTGCTACAGTGCTTGCCAATAAACACAGCGCCATCCTTGTGCATGAGTGCCTACAACTGAAAATCTAAAAATGAAAAACTAACAACTGAAATGAAGCAAGCTTTTTTTTTTAATGTTGTCTGAGTTTACTGAAATGTAAAGTTAACAGTAGAGTAAAAATCTCATTTTTAAAAAACAATCCTAGTTATCTGTAACACTTAAAATGGGCTTCCATGCTGATATTAACTAGGTATACCCACAAACTTTCCCAACCCATGGTACAGGGTAGGATTCAAAGAAGAAAGCAGAACCTACTGTCTGACTGGAAAAGGAATTATACTGCTAGATGTCAAATCAAATTCACTACTACTCTTGAGAGGAGTTTACCCTGGATGAAAAGTGGATTAACATTAAAAACAAAACAAAACAAAACACAATTTGCAGTCTTGACAGCCCCTTTCACTTTCAACATGAAAATGGCTTATTTCTTGGTCCTGTTCTGTATCAGCTCATCACCATGACAGCTTCTAATTGTTCTGTAATTTTTAACAAAAGATTCTAAAAGTAATTTACAACCAATAAATTATTATTTTTGTATTTTATTATTCGTGACTTTTTCTTTAGACCAAGATCTGAAGCCAGTCCAAGTTACTATTTACAGAAGTATTCCAGCAGCCCTGGATCTGTCTCTGATTGACAATGTGAGTTAAGGGCATGACTTAAGTACCTTTACTGACATGGATAGCCCCAGGGAGGTCAAAACTACTTACAAAACAACATAAGCAAAGGCAAAAAAAAAAATTTGGACTAAAATATTTGGTTATTAACATTTGCTAATGACCACCCAAAGGGAATATACAAAATTACGCTGCACCATATTTGTATGCACCTCACAAACCTTTTCCCCCAAAAATAAGGCCTACAAAATTGGGTTGTACATCTTAAGCAAGGAAGCTGATTTTCTGTCTAGAACGGCACAGTAGCATTTCTAGTCAGTTGACTCCCTCAGAACTACCTGACTTAACGGCCCATTATAATACACTTGATTCCTACTAACTGCTCTTCACCCAACAGGTGTTAACAACCCTCTTTCCTTTCTCTATGGTCTTAGATATTCCATTATTTATCTGGGCTTATTTAGTCTAGAGAAGAGGAGACCAAGGAGACATAACAGCAGTCTTCAACTACCTGAACCGGGAGGCTACTGTTCTCAATGGTGGCAGATGACAGAACAAAAGAGCAACAGTCTTAAGTTGCAGCAAGGGAAGTTTAGGTTGGATATTAGGAAGAATTTTCTCACTGGGAGGGTAGTAAAATACTGGAACAGGTTACCCAGAGGGGTGGTGGAAGCTCTATCCTTGGGGGTTTTCAAAACCCAGACAGACAAAGCCTTGGCTGAGATGATCTACTTGGGGCTAGTCCTGTTTTGAGCAGGGGGTTGGACTAGATGACCTCCTGAGGTCCCTCCCAACCCTAATTTTCTATGACTCTGTGATAAGTTATGGTGCAACTACAAATTATGTTTAAGATTTTCAATTCCAATTATACCAGTATAAAACTAGATTAGGGTGACCAAGATATGGTCTGCATACCACAAGTCTCCTCACAGGTCCATACATTTGGGGATGGACCAAGCAGTGGCAGAGCAAACCCCAAAGCTGTGGCAATTAATGCTGCTGCCTTGCCACTCCCAAATTTCCAGACCCGTGGGGAGTCCCAACAGCCAGATCTGGAGTGCAGAGTGGTGTCATCTGGCCTGCAGGGCTGTTGCTGTGGCTTCAGGAGCCATAGTTATCAAGACTACTGACACCAAATTCAACTCCTCAGGCCAGATGATGCAGCTCCATGTTCCTGATGCTACCCATGGACTGGCTCCATGCCACTCACCTGGCCCACAGGACCAGACGTGTTGGACATTCGCCTGGAGTACTTCTACTGATTTGCATAAATTTATTCCACATTTTTACTAGTTCAATAATAACACTACTGACTGATATTAAATAAGCAGCCATCATGTCAACCACTGTACTGAAGCTACCTCTAAAACAGAATGAAGTATCAGATTATTCAGTGCCAAAGCAGCACAGCATCACTTTCAAACCTCAAGTCATCTAGTTTGTTCAAGATGGGAGGTAAGGAAGACTTGCATAGCCAGCTGACCATACAAGGGGAATTGACAGCAAGCAGATTGTGCCATCCAGCTGGAATCTGGCCACCCTGCTGGGGGAAATGTCTGTTATCTTTCAAACCTCTTGTGCCATCTTGATGACTGCAAATCATTAAAAATAGCTTTGCATCTTAAAAGATGAAGCGCATAAGGATACATCACTGAAATACTTTTTGTTATTATAACACGTGGCAAAATAAGTGGATTACTCTGAATGAAATCAGGGTTAATATACATTGTGTGTGAATGGAACCCTAAAGAGAGGGCAGGGGTAAGTAGTTCTCCCTTTCTGATTCTGCACTTTTCACAGTCTTTTAAACTGCTTGCATTCAAAATGAAAGAGGTGTAGAACATTTTAGTTAAATGAAAATAACCTTTTCTTTAATTACTCCACACATCTAACAGTCATTGAAGTAAAGCGTTTCGGTATCAGTCTAATACCCAAAAAGTACAGGAGAGTCTACATTAGTGGGTCCTACGCCAAGAATAACTTAAAAATAAATCTCGTAAGTAGAATTCTTAAAATTAAATGCCTATTTAGAATCAAGAAAAAATTACCCCCAAATAACAGCTTACAAATGGAAATATATCAAAAAGGGGCATCTTCAGGCTTGACACTGGCCCTTTAAGTACAATTCTGCACACTACTATTCACTCAACTCCAAAAAACAGCAAGGCCTCCACTATCAACAACTTGCAGATGTGTTTACCCCAATGTCCTTGCCTTGAACCAACTAGAAAGCTCAGAGTGGAAAAACACCAAGGCCTGCTTCCCTGTCAAGTAACTGAAAGGATTTTTTCATTTTAGAAGATGTGTGGAGAATGTAAACAGAAAATGAGAGTGCAGCTCTGTGCTCCCCCTACTCTTCTGAGAGAGATAACATTAATAAGCACTTAAATGTACACAAGAAACAAAATCCCCTGAAACTCACCAAGGCAAGAGGAGAAAGTAAATGTAAGTGTAGCAAGCAGGCTATTTCCTTTTTACCAATCCCACAAAAATCAGTCTTTCAGTTTTCAAGGAAGAAAAAATAAAGGTGTTTCCTCATTTCTCAGAAGCCAAGTTCTTATATGCCATTTTAACTTATTTTATGTGTAATTTTAACTTTCTGTGGAGACTTACAGTAGAATCACTGTCCTACTTTAATTCCCTTCCCCTCCCCAAGTAATTCACACCTGCTAACACATTTCCTATCAAGTATTTTGGAGGTACCAGATTGTTGCAAACAATCAAGAGACCAACTCTTTTCACGCTGAGCTGGGTCCCAGGAGGAAGTGAGACCTGGAGAGCCCCACGAGAAGGGAATCAAAATGTTTTGTGGCCTTTGCAGAAAAGATCCCGGTTGCCGAAAGAGATGCAGGCTGGAGACTGAACCGGGACCTACTCCCCACGTCCAGGAGGGTCCCTACATCCTAGCCAGGGTCACCCAGCAGGGCTTGGTCGGGCCACCCCACAGGACCCTGTCGGAGCATTTCCCCAGAGGCGGGGGCTCTCTGGGGCAGCTAGGCCTTGCCATGCGGAGCGGGACCGGGGGCGAAGGCTGCACCCCGCCCCCGGGCGAAGGGACCCAGGGGGGACACCAGGACGGGGGGGGTCCTCCCCCCTAGCGGGCCCCGATAGGGGAGAGGAGGAGATGAGACTCACCCTCCGCGGTCACGGTCGCGGCCGCGGTCCCCGAAGCTGCGCATGGAGTCCATGGTGCCAGGGGGAGCGGGGCTGAGCGCGCGAGGGGAGGGCGGCGCGGCGGGCGGCGACGGCTGCTGTATGCCGGCGGCGGGGCGGCAGCCGCCTGGCTTCCCGAGAGGGGAAGAGCGGCTTCGCAGCAAGAGAATGACACTGCCGGAACCGACTGGCGAGGGCCGCGGGCGGCTCGGGGCGCAGCGGGGCCCGTGGGGCACGGACACCAAGCGTCTTCCTTCTCCGGGCTCCCGGCACAAAATGGCCGCCGCTGCCCTAGCCCGCTCCGCTTACGTTAAGGACGGCCCGAACATTACGTAGGCTACGTGTCTGAGGAGCAACGCCTATTCTCGAACTCCGAGTACACAGGCGGCCCCTTGCGAATAAGCGGGCCAGAACTGGCCCCTTAAGAAAGTGACGTAGGGTTCTCCGGCGGAGTCATAGCCTCCCGTAGGAAGGCAACGTTATCCCTATTCCTAAAAGTCGGCTACGCAAAGTGCCAATCACACAACCTAGCCATGAACCAGGGGGAAGGCTCTGGCCGAGCGGCACGTTACGTAAGGACAAGGCGTACGAAGGTTGCGTAGCGGCCGCTGGCTCTGAGCTGGTTGTGTCGCGGGAAGGAAGCGTCGTCCATTTTGCGTAAAATTCTTCAGTGGGTTTCGCTCAGCCGGCATCGGAGCGGGGGCAGGAGCGAAAGGCAGTGAAACCACGTACAGGGTGCGGCGTATCGTGGTTGAAGAATAAGACCTTTTGCCTTATCGGGCTGCAGTTTCGGGAGGCCGCATTGCGCTGCGGCGACAATAACCCGTGTCTGCTGCAGCGCTTGGGGGTCTCCCCGTGCGGCTTTCTTCTGCTGCCCGAAGACCGTCCCTTGTGTCCCCTGCCCAGTGTCACACCCCACCCCGAGCTCGGCGTGTCTGCCCAGCAGGCAGGGCCTTGCGCGAGCCTGCACTTCTGGCCTGCAGGCCGCTCAGGAGCGATCGTGGTGCAATGCGCGGGGCAGCCATGATGCTCGCTCTTCCCCTGCTTCCAGGAAATGGAAAGCAGACAGACATTCCGCCGGGCTAAATGAATGTGCCTGTGTGCAGGTCCGGCAGCTCTCCAGATCGTTCGCAACAACCTGGGCAAAAACTACATGAAGTGATGATGTTCAGGGCAATGTTAGACTGCCCAGATGTTTCTCCGTGCCATGCTCTGCAATATGCTAGGACTGGGAGTGACTCCAGGGTTGAGTGGAGGAGCCCCCTCCTACTGCAGCACCAGTAGCATATGAACCCTTTCATAAACTGTTCAAGGGCCATTTTTAAAATTAGCTACCTTCCCCCCCCCGCCCATAATTCCAGATGGCCCCATAATTAGATTATACTAATTGCTAATTGTTAGGATTTTCTGGTTTCCAGACTGAATTTATTTGCCTTCTATTTATACCTATTCTTGTACCAACGCTGTCCTTTAAAGTGTGTTTCTCTCCCTGTCCCCTTACCATGCATTTATACAGAGTAAACAAATCCTTTCAGTCTCCATTTTGCTAAGATATATGAGCCAAGATATTTTAGTTTCTGCTAGAACTGGCTCTACTTAAAACTGTTCTGTTGCATCTAACTGGTTCATGTTTTAAAAGAGATTAGTCAGATAATGTTTTGAAGTGTTAAACCTAGTAATAGTGATTGATTAAATGCTGTTTTCTGTCATAGATGTGTAATTCCACTGAAATCAATAGGATTTCATAGGTTTGTAACTGAAATTAATGTTGCTTATGATATTGGATTTCTCAGATTCTTGTAGCTTTACAACGCCCAATGCTCTCTTGGCTGTAGTAAGTGGAAGTTGTGAAGCCCCACGGGGTGTGAGTTGGGGTAAGTGGAAGGAGTAATATCAGCTCTGCAGTTTCGTATCAATCACAGAAAAAAACACTTTTTTAAGGCATGGTGGAAGGCTAGGAAACATCTGCTCTTTGCAGCCTTGTTGCCCCGCAACATATCCAAAGTGAGTTTCTTGTCCTTTGCAAAAGTCTTGCCCCGCTCACAGAAGGGAGGATCTGGCCTACACAAATTCTACGCCCTTACTTTTGTAAAAGCTGACAAAAGATGTTGCAAACCAATACAACAGAACTTCAGTTATCCCAAATGATTAGTGTCACTATAATTCTGGATAATCAGTTTTCCTAGATAGGGGTGTCAAACTCCAGGCAGCATGGGCTGGATGAGTGGTGTAGGGCTGGTCCACTGGCAGGATTGGACCCGTGAACTCCCCTCACCCCCATGCTAGACAAGTGCCCACTGTGTCTGTTCTAGGATCTGCGCTGCACACAGTGGCCACTCCCCCCTGCATTGGTTTGGGATATGTACCACACATGGTAGCTGGTCCACAATCAGTGTTGTACACGGTGCCCACACCACTGGTCAAGGACTGCACTGTGTGTGGTGCACATCCTGGACTGGCAGGGGAAGGCGCAAGGCAGTGGGAAAGGAAGGGAACCTGTGTGACACGGTACTGGATGAGCTGGAGCTGGCACCAGGTAT